TTTCTTCGTCCCGTACGCCACTTTCTTCTCCAGGCTCTCCTCGTCGTCGTACGAGACGAAATGAGTCTCGTTCCAGAGATGGGGGACCGCGCGGTCCTCTTCCCATCCGCGTTTCATCCGGCTCTCCTTCGTCAGGCGACAGATCTGCACGGGGATACCGGAGGGGTGAGGACGACCCGAGGGGCACCCGAGTCGGAACGGGAGAACGAGCGTACCTCGAGGTAGTTGAGGAAGCCGCTCTCGTTGGTGAAGGGACCCGGGAATCCTTCGGAGAGGGTGGGGACCCCGAGGAGAAGATCGGAGGGAGGCTTCTGGAAGAGGAAGGTCCGACCGTAGAACGGGAGACCCAAGACGGTCTTCTTCGGGATGGCACCCCGGGCCAGGTAGGCCTCCACCGTCCCCGCCTGAGAGAAGGAACGAGAATCGAGAGAGGGGGGAAGAGAGGAGTCGCGGGGGAGAACCCTCCGGGACGCTCACGACGGATTCGGGCGGCGAGACGGAGTTGGAGTCTCGGCCGGGGAAGAGGGGAGCGTTCGGCCCCGTCGCGCCGTCCCACGCCCCGTGGTAATCGTAAGCCATCACGTTCAGGTAATCCAAGACGTCCGCGATGAGATCCACTCGATACGAGGTATCGATGTGATTCACGCCGGCCCCCACGGCGGCCGTCAGCAGGAGCCGTCCGTTCGCGTCGAACGCCGCGCGCAGGTCCTATCCGGGAGAGACGGACCCCGACGTCGCTTTCGAAGGCGAGGAAAGACGAAGAGAAGGGGGGGGACTCACTCGAAGGAGTTGGGTGAAATTGTCCTTATCTTCGGGTTTTCCGCCTCGTCTCGCCGGATATTCCCAATCCACGTCGAGGCCGTCGAATCCGTGCTCCCTAGAGACGGAACGATCGATTCGCACCGCGCTATCTCCGACGCTTTCTCGTCGTCCGCGAGAAACCTCGTCCGATGCAGGATCTTTGCGAAGCTTTTCGAGAATCCTCTCCGAAAGGACGTACGAGATCCGACGGAGAGGAATTCGGGAAGATGCAGGAGTTCCGTCGGCGATCTCGTCGCGCGGCCGCGGAACGAACGCAAGGAAACCATCGTCCTCGTCCCGACGGCCGTCGAGGATGCGGATGAGGTCGAATTCGAGGAGGACGAGGAGGTCTGATCTTCTCCTCGACCCCTCCCCCCCCTCTTCCTCTTCGGGCGTTTTCGCGACCCGAATTCTTTTTTTCTGCCTAACGGGATGCGATAGACGGGAAGACGGAGAACGAGGACTTTCCGTCGTTCCCCTCCCTCGTTGCCCCCAGAGAATACAAGAGGAAGCATCCGGGTCGCGAGAGTACGATCTCGCGTTTCACCTCGTCGATGCTCCTCCCGTCGGGGCGATGCTCCTCCCCGTCGGGTGATGCCGCCGACCGTCCGTGAGTTTTTCGTCCGGTGAGGGACGGAACCGCTGCTTCTTCCGCTTCGTTCTCTTCGCTTTTCTTCGAGCAAACTTTCGACCGTTCGACCGAAACCCCGGAGAACTCTCGGCGGGGGAAGAGGCCGGAAACGCCCTCGGGACTGCCGTCTTCCGATCGTCGAAACGTTCTCCCGAAGACGATTTCGCCGAAGGAGGCGCGGAGAGTTCGTCCGAACCTCGACGCGAGAACCCGTCGACGACGATCGAATCCGGGAGCCTTCCGTGCGATGCGCGACCGCGCGAAGCGATGCGGAGGCGAACTCTCGATGCCCCCTCTCCGGTCGAATTCCTCGCGTCGTCGAGGACGAAACGAGGTTCGAACGACGAACGTCGTCCTCGTCGAGGCGAAGTGAATCTTCGCGCGACTTTCCGTCCACGGAATCGTCGTTCGCGTGTCGTCCGTCGCGTCGAGCGGGAAGGGCATCATCCGCGAGCGAAGTAAAACTTTGCCATCTTCAGAAATTCCCATTTCGAAACTCTCTCGACCCCACGACCGAGGCGAGATCGGGACGATCGCCGACGATGAGGTCGGACCGTCTTCGAGGAACGTTTTTACGCGGAGAAAATTCCGGAACTTCACGACGACGACCGCGACGGACTCGCATCGCGAGTTCACACCGTAATTCCATTTTCAACAGCCGATGACTCGCTAAATGATCACAAGTATCACCGCTTTAAAT